CTTTCCTCCAGCCAGGTTTTCAATAATGTACTTTGTACACAACCATTTAAAAACAACCATCTGTACAGGACAAAACAAAATTATTATACCATGGTGTTCATTCTATCAGCAACTAGCTCTTTCACTAAAAGGAAACTTATCGGGATTAATCCATCAATTATAAATGACAAGCAGGCCTGGTGACCCAAGCAGGGTTTCCCAACTACTCAAAGGAGGGATGGAGGCTAGAAGGTCATAAGTTCAAGTCCAGCCTACGCTACTTAGTGAGACACTAACACAAAACTAAAAGAAAAGGGATCAGGGTTAGGATATGTAAAGCCCTAGGTTCAATCACCGGAACTGCCTATATATGGACACACATTTTTAAAAAATATATATGCACAACATTTTTTTCACCAGTAATATTTGGTAATCAAAATATCTTTATCATTGTATTTTCTCAGCTTTGCAGTTGAATGAACTACAGTTAATTATTTTTTTGTTTGTTTGTTTGTTTGGTTGGTTGGTTGGTTGGGTTTTTGAGACAGGGTTTCTCTGTGTTGCTCTGGAGCCTATCCTGACACTCACTCTGGCCTTGAACTCACGGAGATCCACCTGCCTCTAAGTGATATAATTAAAGGAGTGAGCCACCGACCCACCACCACCCAGCCTAAACTACAGTTAAATGACCAAAGCCTTCGATAGTAAAATCACAAAACCATGTCATGTTTCAAAACAAATGGCAAATCATTAGACACAGCGGCAGCTGTTCCAATGGATGGATTTTAGTTTTTTAGTTCCTCTTCGCCTCAGTTTCTCACTTCCTTCCACTTCCCAGGACAAATATTTACGTGGCAAAAACAGAATTTTTTTTTTTCTTTTTTACTTATTCATCAAGAAACCCGTTCTAAATATAAAGATCTTACGGAGCTGCTCTGAGAAGCAGAAAAATAACCCATCGCCTGCACCTCCCCCATCCATGTCTGTGGATGCTGAACTCACTGGTAGCCTGCTTTTCTTATTTCTCATGATAATCTTTTGAAATAGGTTTTTGTTTTGCTGCGGTGGGCGGGGGGGGGGGTTGGCGGCGTATTGCTTTGGTTTCCGGTTTTGAGACAGTCTCACATTGGTAGCCCAGGCTAGCCTCAAACCCTCTGCTTGTGGAGTTCTGGGATGACGGCCACACCCCGCTGGGACAGGCTTAGCAATTAACAGGATATTTGCTTCCGATTACATTTGTTATAATTATACTACAATTCCCCTAATCGGTTTAACTTTCTTTAGAATTGTTTTTAGTCCCTGCTCCTCAGGCTTGAACCTGGCATCGTCCCCCACCAAACTCCTGCTATTTCTTCTGTGTATTTTTAAAGTGTTTCTTCTTTCAGCTTGACCCCACTCAGCTGGAACCACTGTCCCCAGGGGCTGGATATAGTGATGGCCACGGCCAGCTTTTTCCGGTCCTTCTGACCTCTTTAGAGCATCCACCGTGTGCATCCGTGGCTCAGACACTGTGGCATTACCCTGTTCCATCTCTTCCATTCAGTCACTCAACGCATGGGCTAATGTCGGTGACCAATCACGCAGCCCCTCTCCTTCCCACGGCCCCCACTTGCTGGCAGCCCTCTGTGGTTCCAACTTCATGGCCCCCTGTGTCTCCTTCTTTCCCATGTCACACAACCCCAGGAGGCAGCACCCTAGACCACAGACACAATCGTTTAATTCCTCCAACTTAATACTTTCAGTGGCTCTTAAAACACTCATAAATGAAGCCTAACTACTGGCCTCTTACGGCCGTTCCCAAACCATCAGCCCTATCTTACACCTCTCCCGTCCAGACCAGAGGCTCCAAGACTAGAATGGCCAGACTCCGTGACTCTGCGCCCATTTTTTTTTTTTTTTTCACGTTCTTCCTCTTCTCTGCAGGAATCTGGGAAGGGTTCATGAAGAACCCTTATCACTGTATTTTGCTCACCAGTAGACAGTGCTCTACTGAAATACCTTGTGATGATGTCTTGCTTGTACAAAAAAAAGAAAAAGAAAAAGAAAAAAGCCTCTCTGAAGATCAGAGGATGGAGCTTGCCACCAGCTAATCACAGAGGTCAGGAGGTCTGAACAGACCGGAAGTGAGATGCCTGGGTAGAGAGAGGGTAGAAGCAGCAGGAAGAAGCAGAAATTAACACTCTTCCACCTGGAAGCTAATGAGGTAGAGGCGACTACGGCTTTCTCCCCTTTCTCTCTGATCTCTCAGCATCTTCCTCTATATCTGACTCCAGGTTTTTATTATTTAGACCAATTAAGGACTCCATTTGCCTTTTGTTATATGTTAGATTCTTGCACACAGCAAACAGCTGAGCAGGAAAACCAAAAGATGGTAAGAACCAGAGGCCACACTTCTAGAACATTTTCTACTGGATGCCTCTTTATGCCTAAGGAATTGTCATGTGACCCCCAACTACATTGGAATATAAAACATGTTTACAAAATTTACTGACAATAAATTTTAAAGAAATTCCTTTTTAAAGTCCATTTGCTTTTCCCATATATTAAAGAAACCAGCACACTCATGAAATGGGTGTTCATATTTATTTTTGTCTAAAGAATCAAATCTTGGGCCAACAAGATAGCTCACCGAGGAAAGTACTTGCAGACAACCGTGATGGCTGAGTTTCTCCCCCAGGGCTGATGATCAGTGAGAGAACCAGCTACTACATGTTGTCCTCTGATTGCCACATGTGCATCGTGATATTCGTGCATGTGCGCACGCGCGCACACACGCATAAATAACATAATCAACACTTTAAAAATTATTACATTTGGCTGGATATCTGACACTGCAGGACATCCAGCATCCAACAGTTTTCAGTTTATCATATTTTATCTTATAACAGTAAATGTCACTTAAATGGCCACTTCATTTATACCCAGTATACTAAGGCAGAAATGTATTTAGAGTCATTTCAGAAACCACTGGAAACTCAAGCACTACGCCAGGAATTTGAAGCACGTGAATATTGCTTTTGTGTGTGTGTGTGCCCCAAAAGTCTCACATGAAATGGCTATTTAATTCCCAGAAATCTTTAAAACCCCCCCACTCTAGTCTTCTCTGAAATTTTTCTTTGTAATTAAAAAATAAAGTCTGATTCTATTTTTACTATTGGATCACTGACAGTTTTCAAGTTTCACCCCTGCCCCTCCAGCCTGATACTGTACAAGCTGGTGTAAATGTCTGGAGATTTCCTCTGGGAACCATCAGGAGGCCAAACCCAGTCGCTGTGTAGGGTCTCCCACCCTAACCATCCCCAACCAATCAAAGGCATGAACCACTCTGTGTGCGACTCTGATCTCCCCCAGAAACCCTCACCACATAAAGACTAAACCTTTGCATCCTCTCTTGACATTGTGTGGCTCCACCATCTAACTAACTTGGGACAGGGTGATCCAAACCTCCAAGGTTTCGGTTTGAATATGAGGTGTCCTCCGCCCACCCCCGGGTTCATGTATTTACACACTTGGTCCCTAACTGATGATGCTGTTCGGGAAAGTGGTGAAATTTTCCAGAAGTGTAGCCTCACTGGAGAAAGTGCTGTCCTGGGGTGACGGGAGACGTCATTCTGTAAATACGTTTCTCTTATTGGTTAATGACTAAAGCCCTGTTGGCCAATAGGAGAGCAAGATAGGCGGGAGCAGGAAACAAGGAAGATTCAGGGATAGGTCGTAGGGGAGTCAGCAATTAAGACTAAGAGAGCAGAGGTCCGGGCCCTCTGGACCACGTGGAAATACTTAGATTAATAGAAATGGGTTAATATTTAAGACAGCACTAGCCGATAAGAAACTCTAGTAGCAGGCCAACAGCTTTATATCTAACGCAGCGTCTCTGTGTGTTATTTGGGGCTGGTGCAGCTGTGGGACCAGGCTGGCGGAAAAACCTGCTCGTAACACTGGGGGTGGGTCCCACTCTCTATTCCCTCTGCTTCCTGAGTTCTAATGCAAGGTGACCAGCCAGTGCCCTGTCCCTGCGGCCTGCCTTCCCTGCTGAGGCACACTGTCCCTCTGGAACGGAGTCCAGGTCACCCTTTCCCCTCGTATTGTTTGTCAGGATATTTTATCACAACAACAGAAATGAAAGTAGCCCCTGGGACAGTGAGCTCCTGCCTTGCTCTGTGGAGATTACAGCTATGATTTGGTAGAATGTACAGAAAGGGTACAGTGGAACGCTGGCCACATTCCCGAGCTTGAGAAACCTCACGCAGAGATGCCTGATTATTAAGCCCGCAGCCTGAAGATCCGTCCGTTCAGCACAGATTACACAGAAGGATGTACCGATCCAGTCTCCACCTTTATACCAAAGCACCTGAGATCAGGTAACCTTCAAAGAATAGAAGTATGTTTGGGTTGTGGCTCTGTGAAGTCCGAGAGCACAATGCTCGTCCTCTGCTGGGGGCACGGCGACACAAACAAAAACACACCTGGGTGGTTTCTCTTCCCCTTCTTAGAAACTCACTCACGCCAAGAAGGGGACTCCAACCCTCGTGACCCCATGAACCCTAATTACTTCCCAAAAGCTTCAAAGTCTTCACCGAGGAAAGTGAGGATTGCCTTTCTGACTCACGGGCTTCAGGAAGACCCCTCAAACTGCAGGAAATGGCTGTGCAATTCCCCTGGGTATCTGGGAATATCTAGCCATTTCCATTAAAGCAAGTGAGTATTGGCATAAGAAACTTTCCTCTAGCTTTGCTCCCTGGATAGCTCTGACACAGCAGAGTCCCAGGAGCAACACGCCAAGCTCTCACCAACCCTAGCACAGGCTAGGATGGAAGGACAAACATACTCTCTCTTATTAACATGCAAAAAGTCACAAATAGCAACATCCTTTAAATTACACTTAGCTATCAACCAAGTGGTTTCTAAGAGTGTACAGCGCAGAAAATGTCCTGGGTCCCTTCAGCCATACCTAGACCCCTAAAGGTCGGGTTAATGAAAAACAGGGACAGGAATTATAATACCAAATGTCAAGTACTTACGCATCTTTAACCGCTCCCGTTGGACCTAGTGGGGAGGAAGAAAAAGATTTGCATTAGTGTGGTAGTATCTCTACAAATTAAGCCCGATACCGAAATGGATTAAAGCATGAGTAATTATGTATATGCATACATGTGCATGCATTCGTGAGTGTGTGTGTGTGTGTGTGTGTGTGTGTGTGTGCGCGCGCGCACACGCGCGTGTGCTTGGAGACAAGTTCTCTCACCATACAGCTCTGGTCTGAAACTCTCTATATAGACAAGGTTGGCTTCCATTCAGATCACCCTGCCTCTGCCCCCACAAGTACTGGGAGGGGTCTGTAGCACCAGCACACCTAGCCCCAAAACACTTTTTAAATAATGTTTAAATATTTTCTCCATCTGCTTCACCCTGCAGGCTGGTGTTTACTTTGAACTATTGGAGTCATATACTACACACTAATCATGGAACAAAATGGAGGTGATAGATGCAATGACATAAGCCGAGTAGACACCAGCCTGGTCTGAAGACAGGTGGAAGGTGCTTCGACACTGCTTTCATGAGTTTAGCTCCTTTCACTTCCCACCCACACAGCCCAAGGCTCTTCTGGGCCCTGCACTCACCTTGGTCTGAAGACTCGGAGCTTGGTTCCTGCCCTTACTAGCTAAGACATCACGTTATCCTACAACACTTGAAACCTCTTGAATCGACAGTGCAGGGCAGGCTCAGCATAGACCCGGTGTCCATGTCCTGTCTCCAATGTCCGTCTAATAGTCACTAAATCATTATGGTCCAGTGCTGAGTGACTGGGGACACTGGACAGACAGCAGCTTAGAGGGACAGCAAAGGCAGTAGCATGTGTGGAGCAGGACCAAGTTTTGGGGGTTTTGTTTGGTTTTTCTTCCTGTTGTGTAATCAGTACCGGCTTCAATCAGCCACCAGGAATCTCCACCTGCTTCACCTTGATTGCACCAGGCCCTGGGTGCCATTAGAGCTGCTCCCCAGCGGCTCACTGGCCTGAACTCAGAGCAGGCTCAGTGGCAATGAGTGGTGTCCCCTTCCAAAAGGAGGCCTGTGTCCCTCTTCTTCTCTAAGATACACCTTACTGGAAGAGGCAGCTGGTGTTGAGTGACTGCGGCTGGGGTGAGAGGGAGGAAGGATCAGCCACACTACATCAAGTTCAGGCAGAATGTAAAGCACAGCTCATTTTCAGAAGGGGAAGGAATCACGCCTCTGAGAAGCCAAGTAGCAACCACACAGGGAGAATGTGGATCCACACAGGCATCTTTTCTTCTTAACATAACTGTATAGTGTTTGGAAACCTTTGATGAAATTAGCAGGGTACATGATATGTGACATTTAAACCCACTTTATCCTGGAAAAGTGTCAGATCATAAAATGATGAAAAACACAAGTGGCTACCCTGTAACGTTTTAGTCATGCTTTGCTTAATTGTAACAAACCAGATCAAGATTTCTAATCTAATTTATATAAAAAGTGCTGTGACAAAAATCATTCAGATGGTGGAGGGAGAAAAAGGCTGCTTTAAACTGTGTCTGCAAGTCATTTGACTTATAATTTACTCAACAAATATTTGGAGTGGTTCATCAACTTCTCCACCACCCCAGGTAACCCTCATCATCCCCCAGAATCTCCGTTAGAACAACTCCATTTTCCTCCAAACTGCCTCTTCCCTGTTTAAACACAGTATTTGTGAGGTGATATCACCGGCCTTGGAAGAAACAAGGGATGGCGGAGGGACTGAAGAGATGGCTTAGCACTTCAGAACACTTGTTACTCTTGTAGAGCACCTGGGTTCTACCACCTGCATCCACATGATGACCCGCCAAAATCCTCCCCTCCAGTTCCAGAGGATGTGATACCTTCTTCCTCACTGGGCATCAAGTAAGCATAGCAAACACACATTCGCACATACACCTGACTGGTGATTAAAGCTTGCTTTAAGTTTGGTTTTGAACTGTGGCAATGGTCTTGTTCTAGGCCGGTGGGATTAACATTTTTCTGGAGGCCTCCAGTGAGATTCAGACCACCCACCCAAATTCTAAAGCTGGGCCCTCACTCCAACACCCTGAGGCTGAGGGGCACTTCAGGATGCATGTGCTTTGGGACATCCCAAGGCTGTCTTCGGTGCTCAGACGATCAGAGTGCTGAGAAACGCAGCAAGCGCCTACAGAAGCCTCCCGTGAATCACAGGACCGTTCTGTTTTATGGATCCCTGTGGGGAACATGGAGGAGGTTTGACAGAACCCCAGTATTCTCTCACTCAGGGCAAACGGTTAGAGTTCGCCCACCTGGGTCTGATTGATTGGAAAATTTTGTTTCCCATGGAAAGTTTTGTGGTCTGTTTCTTGAGGAAGTTGTGTCTGTCTGTTTTCTTGGAAAGTTTGTGTTTTCTGGTGTGTCTGTAAGTTTTGTTGCAAACGTGGAGTTGTGACAGAGTGGGTTGGATATTTATGCTGTCATCACTACTGCCATGGACAGGGCTCAGAATTTATCTCTGAGCTCTCTGGTCACTAGATTCAGATGTCTTTTTGGTGTGGATAACATTAAAGTTGTTTTATGTTGTCTGACTTTAGTGGAAAGCTGACTCTAGGTTGGGTTATGGCTCCCTTTTCTCTAGACCCAAGCATATTTAAGTTTCCTCTATGCCTAGTGTCACTGACCCTCCTGACATGGTGTCAGGGAAAAGAAAATAAAGCAGAACAGCCAAAAATAAATAAATAAATAAAATTAGACTTGCTTTATATGAACATTCTGAACATTATTGGTTAAAAATCTGTAAAACCTATGAAGAAAGTTAACTTAAAACTAGTAACATGGGGCAGGGCAGTGGTGGTACACACCTTTGACCCCGGCACTTGGGAGGCAGAGGTAGGAGGATCTCTGTGAGTTCAACGCCAGCCTGGTCTACAGAGTGAGTTCCAGGACAGGCTCCAAAGCTACAGAGAAACCCTGTCTCAAAAAAGGAAAAAATAAACAAATAAAAAAACTAGTAACATTGGGAGTTGATAGTTAAAAAATCTATACATCTATGCATGGGTAATCTTAAAGGAACCATGTGGCATGATTCCATTTTGGGATATAAGCAAGATATGGATTGCCACCATCTTTAGACAGCCATATGGCTGGCAGCCATCTTTGCTAGAATTGGAGAAGATGGGTGTCATGTGACTTCACCACCATCTTGATTAAAGGTGACCACATGGTGTGAGCTACCAAAGAGGCAATAACAGGTCTCCAAGACATGGATTAGGGTGGATTTTTTTTATGATAATTTCTGTCCTGTCCTAAAAGCAAGGTTTATGAAAGATAGGATTTAAAAACTAAGTTTGTTTAATAAGGTATTAAAGCTGCACCTCCACATGCAAGAACGTGCCTTGTGTTGGCAGCCCAACTCTGTAAGGTAAGAATCACCCAGGTAATTTTTATTAAAGTCATGAAGGGGTCTGGGCAACAGCTGAGGCTTGTTGTGGCGGGGCTGCAGCCCCTAAAGAGAGCCCAGTTGCAATGGTGGACCCTAGCAGTTTGCTAGTGACCAGAACCACCAGCCACAATGAAACAGAGCAGGCTGAGGCCCAAAGGCAGGCTGTGCCTATGCTTCCAAGGTTGGAGCCTAAGAGGTAACCCAAGCCCTTCGAGAAAACCGAAAGGTACAAATGAATCCCATATGCGGACCTTTGAATTGTTTGCACGGTTGGAGCCTGGCTTTTGCCAGACAGATTGTGATTATACCCTGTTTTCTACCTCTTGAAGTATAAAAGGGTACTTTATCCTTGATATTGCAAAAGCATGTGATTGGGAGATTTTAAGCTTTTCAAGAGGAAATTTTGGTGTTTTAGAGAAAATTTAAATTAAAAAAAGTGGATTTTTTTTAAGGAACAGCTTTAAAATATTTGAATTTATAAGGCTATGGGGCATTTTAAGTTTATGAAATGTTTTATAACATTAATATTTACTTTTTAAAAAGTTAAAAATTAGGGCCATAGCTACGAGCACCAAATACTAACCAGCAGAAACTGAGGCTGGCAATGGGCTTGCTGTACCTTCTCACACTCTGGGGTGGAAAGACCTTTCTACAGGGGTAGCCTAGGACCACCCACCTGCCGAGAGTCACAACAGTGGCAAAACAGGAATGATTTGTGGTTGGGGGTCACCACGACATGGGGAACTGTGTGGAGGGGTCAAAGCATGGGGAAAGTTGAGAACCACTGGCTCAGAGACTGTCTCTCTTTACCTAAGTAAGATTATTACTTAATGAATGTCTAGGGGCTGGAGAGATGGCTCAGTGGTTAAGAGCTCCGACTGTTCTTCAGAGGACCTGAGTTCAAGTCCCAGCACCCGCATGGCAGCTCACAACTGTGTATAACTATATTTCTAAGGAACCCGACACTCTTCAAAACAACAACACACAATAAGTAAATTTAAAAAAAAAAGGAATGTCTAGTCTCCTTACCTTTGCTAACTTTATTAAGCTTAAGATATTTTTGATAAACTGAGTCATATAAGAATCTGTTCTTCTGTAATGGTGTACTATCAGAGGATCAGGAAAATTCCCAGTCACTCTGTAGACTGTGTTTGTGAGTTAGAAGTGTTATTTTGATACTAAGATGAACTTAAATTCAGAAATTGTTATTTTTCAAGGCTCAACAATTGACAGATATAAAACTATAAAGTCCTAATCTTATAAAAAGCTTACGTAAACTGTTACAGATAATTAAGATCAAATTCTTCAGTGTGTTCAGAATTATACTTGTATTCATGCTAAGCACTAATGTAATTAACTAAGGAAAAAGCTTAAGCTTCCTGTATGTGTTTTCAAGGTTAAGCCTAGCGTAAGCGAGGTTTGTTTAACTCAGTATTAAGTTTATATACTTCATAGATAATGGTCCTCAAACTTTTCAGAGATATGCCGAACATTTAAAATGTTTAATGGAAAAGATTGCAGCTCCTAGCGGTGACCCCAAGGTCTCCAAAGATGGTGATTCAGCATATGAGGACTCTGCCTAGACTGTGGTAATGCTGACCAC